TGGTCAAAGGAAGCCATGTCCTATGAGGAGTGGTTTAGGGAGCTGGGAATGTTTAGCCTTAAAAGAAGGTTAAGAGGGGGCATGATAGCCATGTTTAGATATTTGAAGGGATGTCATGTTGAGGAAGAGACAGGTTTGTTTTCCATGGCTCCAGACATTAGGACAAGGAGCAGTGGTTTCAAACTACAGGAAAAGAGATTCCACCAGAATCTCAGGAAGAACTTCCTGACAGTCAGAGCTGGTTGGCAGTGGAATATGCTGCCTCGGAGTCTGGTGGACTCTCCTTCTTTGGAGGTTTTTAAAGTAGAGGCTGGATGGCCATCTGTTGGGAGTGCTTTGATGGAGTTCCTGCATGGCAGGGGGTTGGATATGATGGCCTCTGTGGTCTCTTCTGACTCTGTGATTCTATGATTCTACTGAAAATAAACCTGGGAGAAGGAGCTTCTATGACACCTGCCTACCAGAAACCACCTCTGCCTGTTGGGTAAGGGGGAAAGAAGTGGTGGCAGCAACTAATCAATCAGTCTTCTTCAAGAGTTTGGAAAGAGGACTGAGGGGACTCCATTTCCACTCATAGGTTGAGCTGAGGAATATGGCAGACCACTTGGCTGGAGCTGATACAGTACAGTGGTGCCTCGCTAGATGATGATAATCCGTTCCACTGAAATCGCTGTTTAGTGAAATCATTGTCTAGCGAAAAACATTTCCCTATTGGAATGCATTGAAACCTGTTTAATGTGTTCCAATGGGGAAGAATCGTCGTTGTCTAGTGAAGATCGGCCATAGGAAAGCCGCTTTGTGAACCGCCGACCAGCTGTTTAAATAGCTAACTTGCGAAGCTTAGGTCCCGAAAACACCCATTTTGCGAGCGCAGAGGGAGCTGTCAAAATTGTCATCTAGCGAAAATCGGTTTGCGATGCAGGGACCAAATATTGTCCAGCAAAATTCCCCCATAGGAATCACTGTTTTGCGAATCGCTATAGCAGTCGCAAAAAGTCAATGTCTAGCGAAAAAAACTGTCACGCGGGGTAACTGTCTAGCCAGGCACCACTGTAGTTTTTAATGTTTAAGTTGAAGAGTTGGGTTCAAGACAGAGAATACATCTTCTTAAGAGTGGTCCCCAGTGTGTTAAACTGTGATTAATGGGAACTAACATCTGAACCAGCCCCTAAAGAAGAGTCTTATCTCTGCTCAGCTGAAAGCCTGTTGCTTTTTAATTCATGCAGAAGGTGAAAAGGGTAACATTTAATTGCTTCTGGTCCGCAATTAGCAAGTTGCTGTTGGGCTTGACACAGGCTAAAGAATCCCAGCAGGAAACTCATTAATTGCCAGCCCTTTGCCTTCCATATGTGGCACCACTGTAGTTTTTAATGTTTAAGTTAAAGAGTTGGGTAAGCCCCCCCCTCCGGCATCAATGGTGTGTAGTTTCAGACAGAAGCCCACCAATACAACTTCACCTGTTAATGGTCACCAGAATAAGATAGAATTTTATAGTATCTTACATGGAATCTGCATTCATTTGTACTGAAATCTGCAGTTATTTTCTTTGGTCCAGCATTTAAATAACAGTGGGCTGAAGGGAACGACCCTGGATCGACATTTGGAGCCAACAAATTATATTTCATTGAATCCATTCAACATTCAGTGGGTGGTGGGACCGTCAAGGGCAGTGCATTTCCTGTGAAAAGAAATAGGCACCATAACTCTCTTTCAAAGCCCTGCCTCTCTGTAAGTTATAAACCTTTCCCTTAAGAAGTAGAAATAAATTGCACATTCTCAGACACATCCGTTTCTTTCCAGGTCTCCCTTTGTTCTCGATTGGGTCGGTAGTTGTGTGCTGTGTGGAAGATTGGTGGTGGCAATTGCAAGTTTTTAATCTCTGCTTCAGCACTTGCTGTATGTCGTTAATGCAATGACACAGAAAGAGGGATTGTATGGGAGGAACCTTGTTTGGGTCTTTAAGCTCATACCTCTTTGCTTTTAATTCCTCTCTCCAGGAATGATTGCCATTAGTAGGATGGCAGTGCTGTATCCCCAGGTGATAGTGGACCACCCCTTTTTCTTTGTGGTGAGGAACAGAAGAACAGGTGAGTCATCTCTGTCTGTTATGCTTTTCTCTCTAGTCCTATTGAGAGTCCTCCCTAATAAGTTAGGAAAATGCCAGTTGCCCTGAGCCAGCCCTATCTTTAGGCAAAGGGAGGCAGCCACCTTAGGTGGTAATTACTGATGGGTGAGGGGTGGCAAAGGGCTGGAAGTCAAAAATGTTTTCAGCCACCAAGCTGTCCTGTTAATAGCTACGTTCACATATGAGAGCCATATTTCATCTCCAGCACTGAAGTAAGATTCAAGGGCTAATCAGGTTGTCCTCTGTACATGAACTGGAGAAAGTCACCATTCTCTGCACGTTGACTTTTTCATCTCTGCGCTCTCACCCGCAAATGATAACTATGCAGTTTTTTTCCAAGCACCTCCCTTTGGAGAATGTGTGAAATAACCCTGGAGTATTTTGAGTTTCTGAATGCTCCTTTTAATGTTTCTCTCCCGGAGGGGGCACCAAAACCCTACGTGGTATATTGCCATTTACTCACTTACTTTAAAAGGTATTTCTAAAAGGGCCAAAGCACACAAGATGGGCAGCTTTGCAGTTGGGAAGTGATAAAACATTATCTTTCCCCAGAGACACATTCTCCAAAGCTGCCATGGCTGTGCAGTCAGTTTGTAAGCACATTGATTCCTCCTGATGACCAATCAGCAAATAGAAACAAGCTGATTTAGTTGCCAAAAAAAGGTCAGACGTTAATCATGGGTTCTTTACTACTTAAGGCAGCTCTGCTTCTAATTGCAAACCTGCCCGTTTCTTGTGTTTTGGTCCTAAAAAATGAGCCTGACAAGAATACTGTAAATGGCTGCACACTGCAAGAGGGAGCACCTGCAATATCAAAGATAGCTCGACAGAAGGAGGACAGGAGGGCATGTCTCAAATCTGTGGTTTCCTTCTTAAAGAACATGCCCTGCTGTCCGCCTTCTATCAAGCTATCTTTGAAGCTGCAGGTGCAATGTCTTCGACAGACACAGAGCGCTCTCTTGCATTATCTCAGCAGAATTCTAAAACTGCTCGGATCCAGGAGGACCCAGAAGATGGGTATGATCTGTTATTTATGTGTCGGGCAGGGAGGGCCAATGAGAATTACCTGCTCCATAACAGAACAGATTGATTTAACAATATATCGAGTAAACTTCACCTGCATTCCTGGAGAGAGGCGGTAGCTCGGTGGTCTAGCACATGCTGTGCATGCTAAAACTGGAAGTTCAGTTCCCACCAACATCAATTAAAAAAAGGTCTTGAGTTGCTGGAATGGGAAAGAACTGTTCCATCTGAGAGTTAGCAGAACTGCTTTCCAGTTTGAATAGCCAGTACTAGGTAACATGGACCAGTAGGTTGGACAGCATAGCACTGGAGACTTAACAGTGCAATCCTGTGCTTTACTATTCAGAAGTAAGTTTTACTAAGTTCGGGAAGACTTATGTCTAGGTTAAAAATGGGCATAGGGCAGTTTTGTCTGCTTCTCTAGCAGATGAAAGAATGGTCTGAACAGAGACTGGGCAACCCCAGGGATCCAGGGACCAATGTTTACCCCGCTTCACTTGCTGCAGATCATGGTCAGAACACAGGGGAAATAACCAGAAGTCTATTTCGATTTTGTAAAGAGTCTTCTTTCTTTAAGGAACAAGAAGCATATGGCAGAGGATGTGTCCTGTCTTAAGGGAGAATAACTGCTCTTAGCTTCCCCCTTTTTTGTGAGAAAATGGTTTTGGGGTGGACTTAGGGGTGCATGGTGGAGGGCAGTTAGTGACTGTGAACAATATGATTCCCTTTCTTCTACTTTATGAACAAATGCTCTTTTAAACATCAGAGTGATGGCCTGTCTGCATCCTCATTAACTGGAAGAGCTGGTAATTTCCTACATAAAATCCAAGCAACAAACTCTGTGTTTAAGAGCTATGCTGGTCATACCATGGCAAAAATATTGTGACTGTTTTCTGGCCATCTAGAGCAGGATGGGTGCATCTGACCAATGAGATACATTGGTAAGGCTTTCCATTACAAAAAACCTTATCAGAAACATCCAGCCCTGAACTATTCTGGATCCCAATGGGACAAAAAAATGTTTTGAAGATATTTTCCTAAATAAAATACTAGTTTAATTTGAATGCTCATTATTATAAAAAGATGCAATGAACAGTTGAGAAGAAATGTATGAAGGCTTTCAATGCCAGGATCTGATGGCTACTGTAGGTTTTTTGGGCTGATTGGCCATGTTCTGGAGGTTTTTCTTCCTAACGTTTCACCAGTCTCTGTGGCCGGCACCTTCAGAGGACAGGACTTAGAACTCTGTGTTCTGGTGTAGAGTGTGGGATAGTTGAGTATTTGTAGCTGTGGGATCAGATTTTTGTACTTTTCAAGAGATTAGGTGGTTATGGTAATCAGGACCTTTCATTCCTTCAAATCACAAGAGCCATTAAACTGAGAAAACGACAGCGAACTGAAGAAGAAAAACAGCCACCCACAAATAAAGTATTTCTGCCATACATCAAAGAGGTCACTGACTGCATGGGGAAACTTTTGAAAAAGCACAACCTACAGACAGTATTCAGGCCCAACACAAAAATACAACAAATATTATGGTCAGCAAAGGACAAAAGGGATCCCCTTACCACCGCAGGGGTATACCAGATACCTTGTAGTTGTGGCCAGGTATATATTGGGACAACAAAACGCAGCATCCACGCCAGAATCAAAGAACATGAAAGACACTGCAGGCTAAAACAACCTGAAAAATCAGCAATAGCTGAACGTGCCCTGAAACAACCTGGACTATTTCAAAACACAGAAGTACTGGACAACACCAGCAATCATTATGTTAGACTACACAGGGAAGCCATTGAAATCCACAGACATCAGCACAGCTTCAACAAAAAAGAATAAAATCTAAAACTCAACAAAGCCTGGCTCCCAGCACTGAAAAATACCCCCTGCAAAAAGGTCAATGAACTGTACCCAGCCACAAGGATCGGCGATCACTGCACACAGAAGACTAGCTAACAACACCCATCAATCACAGTGACAGATGACCTACCCCGTTATCACAAAAATTCACCCATAACAAAAAACACCCTGATCACCATAATCACCCAGTCTCCTGAAAAGGACAAAAACCTGATACCATAGCTACAAATACTCAACTATCCCACATGCTACACCAGAACACAGACAGACGTCTAACTCCTGTCCTCTGATGATGCCAGCCACAGAAAGTGGCAAAACGTTGGAAAGAAAAACCTCCAGAACACAGCCAAACAGCCTGAAAACCCTACAACAACCTACAGAAATGTATATATTTGAAATCTGTTCCACATACATTCAGCCCCAAACCTTGCAAACTTCAAGAATAACGGGAATCTTTGTGAACCGCCGAGAGAGTGGCAGCACTGATGGGATGATATAGAAATAGAAATCAATCTGTCAGTCTTTCTCAAGTAACCACCCCCTGTGTCAGTTATGAAAACAAGCCTTGAAGGAAGGCCAAATGCGCTAAACATCTCTTTTCCTTTTTTCTTTTCCCATCAATTACTCACTCATGAATACACCTGTTTTCCTTCATGCCAGCGATCCATAATGCAGGATTTAGCATCCTTTTATTTCATTAAAGCAACGACTCAGAAGGGAACAGCATCTTATATGGCCCTGGAGGGGGAGAGGTGGCCTTTTCCCTGACAAGTTTCTTCAGCTTATCTCATATAGTTAAAAAGCTGCTATTTGCTGGTGTATGGGGAGATATACTAGATTTGATTTTTGAGTTTTTTTCCCCATAAAAATACCTCCTTCGGACTCTCTACTGTCCTTTATATATCTTTCTCTTTGACGCTCTTTTTTCCCCTTTAGGTACCATCATTTTCATGGGGAGAGTTATGCACCCAGAAGCAATGAATACAAGTGCCCATGATTTTGAAGAACTTTAATATCCCCACAGGCTCACAGTGTACGTAAACACACACACACACACACATACACACACACAGAAAATAAGCACACTGATTTGCAATTGATGTATTTAAGGTTTGCCGTGTGGTTTTCTTTCTCTTTTTGCAATGTTACCTTTGAAACACTGTTGAAAAAGGAAAAAAAAAAGCAAACAACTTCAAGCTAGAAAATGCAGACCACAGTTGTGGAAGAAAAGCTTTCAGTATTAAAGTAAATGTCGTCGTCCTTGTGTTGATTTGTTGTGGTGGTCCTTTAAAATAAAGACCATATCCGTGTCGGTGGCCATGTTTCGTGTCTCAGTGACCTCAGCCGTGCTGAATTCTTTCTCTCCTTCTTTCTTACGGAATCGTTCTCAAATGTAGCAGTGAAACACACTCGTGTGCCATGACTCTAAGAAATCATTTCCTGTAAGCCCACAGACTCTAAGAAATCATTTCCCGTACGCATCACAGGGCAGATAAACCTGTTGCATTTCATTGTGAGTCACTGCTCCTTCTTAACAACTCCATTCTGGAAGTGAAGGATGATGGTCTCCAGAATGTTGCTGGACAGTCTGTCCAGGAATATTCTGGAGGAAATGGAGGAACATTCTGGAGGGACATTCTGGTGGGGAAAAGGGAAATCCTGCTCTTGCAAACCTTTCCATGATGGCCCAGAACTGGAGGTGGGCACGAGCCGATGGTTCGACGATTTGGTGTGGTCCATTTCCCTTTCAACCAGCTGATCCATGGTTCAGCACCCCACGCCTTCCAAGGGGTGCCCACTCGGCAACAGTGCCATGACCCACCTCCTTCTGGTGCTGCCTCTGAGTAGACACCAACTGGAGGGCACAGGGTGTTGAACCGCAGATCATCTGTTTGGTCAGGAAATGAACTGCACCACCAGGATACAGAACTGCGCCGAGACACCAAACCAGTGATTTGTGCCCATCTCTGTCCAAAACCATAGACCCCTTCTGTCTCGTGAGCATCTAGGATTCCAAAATATATGGAAAGCCTATGAGTGTAGACTTTTTCATGAACGTTGTTGCTGAATGCTTCTGTATCCAGGGATGGACAACTCCGAGCCCTTCTGGGTCCTGGCAATGGCATGGCCCCACAGCTCTGTTCTGTACATAAAGGAACCCAGTTCTGTATCATGGTATGCATTCTGGTACAACCTGGAATGTTACCTTTTAAAAAGCATCATATTAATGTGAGCCTTTCCTTTTCTTTTCTTTTCTTTTCTTTTTCTTTTTGCAATGGCAGAAACAACAAAAGTTTAAAGTGAATAATCGTGAAAATCTTACAGACATATTTTTCAAACCATCCTGGCCCACCTCAGCCCCCCCCCCCCCCGGTTTAGATACCAAGGCTGGAAAAATAGAAAAATTGTCCCCAATAAGATCAGACGAGGCCAAACCTGCAACACTGTAGAGATAATTAGCAAACATAATTTGTTGCACTAAAGCTTTTTTATCAATGGTGCAATTCAGTGTGTGACTACTTAAAAATAATACTGTTATGCTCTCTTTACCCCCGGATAGTAACATATTCCAGGAAATATTGCAAGCACAGAATCTTTGAGAAAGGGGTTCCCACTATTCAGGTGCAATTCTCAGTGAGGGAGACCTCCCTTCCCCAAGAATACATAGGGTGCATTCTTGGGAATTCAACATGGTGATTAACAGCAATGAAGAGCAACATGGTCTGATAAGAATTTCCTCTTATCCTTGAAACTACTCACTGGAAATGCAAAAAAAAAAAAGGTTGGTTTTCATTCCCCCTTTCACTGAGCGACTCCACTCTGAATGCCAGCTGTGCCTAGCAGTCATAAATTCAATAATTTCCACCATATCAAAGCCATCTTCCCATGCCTGTGCTTTTTAATTCAGGTTAAAAAGTGTGCCTCGGCTTGGAGAAGATTGGAAGCCCTGGCAGTGATGTTAGAAAAGACAGTGTTAGCTTGAGATTGAGTAGCTGCCATTGTAAATTGCAAAACTTCATAATCGATGTGAGAAAGTTAATAATTCATCAGATTGTAATGTGGTTCCTTCCTGCAAGCAAATTCCAGGAATCCGTGTGATTCCCTGCGCAGCGGTGCAGATTAATAATGAAAAGTACTGAACGGTTATTGCAATGGCGTTTGACTTCACTTGCATAGATGAAAACACCATGAGCCAAAGATAGTTTAGAAAGAAAAGCACAAACACTGGTAAAAAGAACAGTATTAAAACTAATCAGAGCCATTCCAACCGCAAAATGACACATACGGTAAACAAACAAGATGCTTCCTGGGGTGTCAGAAGGTCCTAAAGACCTAGCTCTTTAAGGAATGAATAAATATGAGTCATCAGTGATGTCTGGTACACCGTGAAGTCTAGGCAATTCTGCAATGGTGGAGCTACAACTAAGTTAGTCCTTGTTCAAGTCACTGCTCTTCCGGTGTCACACAAAGTCCATGAGCATGGCTCATTCCACAGATCTCAAAGGGCAGATTGCAACATACGTGGAGTGGGAGGTATTTAAACCATATGGAAGAGGTGAGAATCTTTGTCAGCTCAGCAGTTCAATTTCCATTTGGGTAGCATCAAAGGGGACATATCAGAGCAGGCTAAAGGCACAGGGAAAAGGATAAGCCAGACGGAACTAAAACAAAAGGGGCAGGAGTCATGGAAAGACTTAATTCTTATCCATTTGGATCTGTTACCACCAGGAGAACAAAATACAGTTCAGTTCCAGGCATGTGTACTCGGACATAACCCCAAGCACAGCACATTTCAAGCATATAAACCACAGCTGTACAGGAGGAAACAACAGGTATTTTACCTAAGCCCCTGATTTGTACACCTGTCTCCTTGCTGGTTCAGGTTTAAAACCCTGCTCTTTTCATTCTTTTAAAATTTATTTATTTTATTTTATTTATAACCCGCCCATCTGGTCTTGCGACCACTCTAGGCAGCTTCCAGATACATAAAAACATACAAATATAAACAAAAAATTGTAACATCCGCTAATAAATTAATAGATTGTTCAAGATGGCAAAAGGAAAGAAGAGGTAATCAAAGATTAACTGGAGGGAAGGCCTGTACAAACATCCATGTATAAAATTGTGTAAAGAGCAGAGTACAGTATTTAAAGTTTATGGAGGGAAGGCTTGTACAAACATCCATGTATAAAATTTTATAAAGAGCAGAGTACAGTATTTAAAGTTTGAATGTCTTTACATGTCCTCTTATCTCTAATCTCTGATCGTAGACAAGTGTGAGGATTCCCCCACACTATGCTTAAGAACCGGCTGCCTTTCTTTAGAGCTTAGGAGGGTTATCAATTGGGTGAAATCCAATCAAAGAGGAAGGCACAACAATGGACACCCAAGACACAGAGCCTGCAGCAGAAAAGATGGAATGGAGAGACAGAAACTGGTGTCATCACAATGTTAGTGGCAACTTGCCAAGTCACCTGCCTCTTAGTATTGTATCGATGTTAATTAATATACAAGGCAAGGTGGAAACCCAAGGCATCTTACAATTCAAAGCATCATGGGGCTGGGCAAGTAACTCCCAGTGTTATTCTTTAGAAGCAATCTGTATCATTGTACCTCCATCTTCTACCAGCAACTCTATGCGGAGGAGACCAACCCACCAGAGTCCATACAACAGTCATCCTTACCACACAGTCAGTCCTAATAGTGTCATGTTTTGCAAAATTTATTAAATAGGCTGAGTTAGAGAAAAATGAAAGAAGAATATTCCAGGACACAGAAAAGGTCTACAATGAGCCTTCTCTTCATTGCACATCTCTGTGAAATGGCTGATGGAGTGGCTACAAGAGGATATAGAGTACATGGTTTGGATACCTCAGTTTCAGCACTTCCTAGCCCAGCAAGGGTTGGAATGCCTAGTCGACTGTGATGTTTACACGTAAACCCTGCTTGTTTTCTCCAAAGTAAGGGCTCACGCTATGCCTTCCCTCCAGCAGGAGGGACGTTCTCCCTTTTTCTCACTGCCACTAGTGGATTTCCTTTATCCACAACGTATAAAGAACTTTATTCAGACACTTGTCGGATTGCTGCCAACAGAACTGATTTATTGAAAGGTGACAGTCACAGATGTTATTTATTCAAAGCATACAGTATAATCAAATCATTCAAATATCATATCCCTTGCCACCTTCACCACCTGCTCTATCTTGAGCAGGTTATCTCTATTATTATTTCTCACTATCTCTTTGTCTATCTCTGTCTTTCTGCTTCTTTTTCTGCTTCCCTCTCTACCTATTTCATTTTTCTCCTGCCACTTTCTCATATTCTGCTGAACCCACCCCTCCACTCCTCTCCTAGGCTCATGCAAATAAGAATATGACTGTGAGTGACAGGAGTGACGTGGGGCAACCGTCACATAACATGGTTTGGAAACCTCAGTCTCAGCACTTCCTAGTCCACTAAGGTTTGGAATAACTAGGTGACATCTTGCATTTTGTCAGTGAATTCATTTTCTCCTTCAGTATAAACTCCTCAGTGTACTGTATTCATTTCAGTTTCCTCTTGCTTTTGTTCACATCAGTGACCAGCTTTTGAATGCAATGAAGACTACATGGGATATGAAGAATCTCTTGGGGTGTTGCTTGACTCAGGGCGAACAGCATCTGCTTGCCCTTCCCGGTAGTTACTCTAGAATCACACAATATCTGAATCACACGATATCTGTATTTCTGTCAGATTTCACACAGTTGTTTGAAGACAGTGCATTTGCTTAGATACTACCCACTACATCAAAGAATTATTCCCTATTCCCACAGCCAGACCATTCTGGGTAGCTTTAATCAACAACACATGTCAACCATGGTGAAGTCCATCAGCCCTGGTACAGAAAATATTGGGGCCTGGGGGGTTCAGGATATCAACATGATTCCCCCTCTGTTTTGCTCAGATGAAAGCGTTCCAGGTTTGGGCCTGAATGGGCAGGGATCCTGATGACCTCAATAAATTTCCTATGGACTATAGCAATGCCCCTCCTCACCCTTCTGATCTGCCATGATGTTGGATGGAATAACCTAGGAGGGGTATCTCGGAATGGGCAATCCCAACTTCCGCCCCCTCCCAGGTTTCAGTTATACAAACCAGGCCATCTTTTCATCTACCATAAGATCACAAATTAGTTCAGATTTATTTTGGGCAGACCTGGCATTTAGCAGCGGCATGAGCAGATTAGACAATTGGCTGGTAAAGTTACTTTAATTCTACTGGCTGAGAGGAGAACCATGGATTTATACATCTGAAACAGGTTGTACTATAATGGCCT